CGTCGCAAAAATGTGGTCGACACTGGTTTTGAGGGTAGAGACCCGTGGGCCGTTTATTAAATGAGCGACAACAGATTATTTTAACAAAAATAAAACAAACCGAAAAGATTAACACAGTAATAATAATCTTCGCATAATATCGCGGCACTTTCGCTGGCGTCGACGACGCGATGTTCGGCGTAATCCTTGGACGGCAAAATGGGTAGCAGCGTTGTAGGCGACGGTGCGCGGGTGCGGTTCGGCTGTCGACGTTGTCGCTGACACAACGGGAGGAAGACTCTCGCACCATTTGCGGCGGGTCGTCGTCGGACGTGCGGCATTTGCTGGACTTTGCACCGTAGCGTATAACACGCGGTGTTGGTCAGTCAAATACTCATAGTAGGGCGACGGCTGATAAAGGTGGCACGAGTCGCGGGGCATCGTGTATAACGAAGCGACGCGGGCCGTGTCATATTTAATGTTTGATTATTTAACAATAATTGGTGCATTTTGGAATTATTATTTTTAATAATATTGTTATCTGTATTGAACAATAAATACGACAGATGTTTCCTAATAAAAAGCAATGCTACGATTCTAAAAATGCCAAAAAATTTTTCTTGATAATCTTGTATTTTTAAAATCCATAAATCAAACCAATAATAATTCCTTGCATCTTTATATGCAGTATTAATACCTTTAATTATATTGTTATAAATTTCCTGACTCTGTTCTCCATAATACATTATTATTATTTTCAAAATATCTTTATTTTGGATAACATTATTCAAATAAATTGTAAGTGAAATCCCATTTTCAACATTTATATCACTCAGAAAAAAGTAATTATTATGATTTCTTATGTTCATAACATTTTTTATTTCGTCAATTTTGTGTGTGTCACTTGGATTTATTTCTATTTCGTTTATGTCACAATCGTTTTCTGCATGTGATTTTATAATTTCTATTATAACTCGTATAAGATCCTTAAAATGTATGACCAAGTCATCTTCTAAATAATCCCTTTGTTCTTTTATGTAAATTGCATACATAAACATAGCCCATAAAGGATCTAAAGGTGCATCTAGGTCTGTTTTTAGCATTAGGGATAGCATGTGTTTAATAATTGATTCATCTAAAAGTACACTATTATTTTCTTTTAATATTTGAATTCTTTCTAATGAACCAATAAGGCTCATATATTGTAATAGGTCCCTTAAGTTACTGCAATAAAGGTTGTAGTAGATAATTTGTGGCCTATTGTGTAGTGTAAATGTTGTTGGTTTGTTTTCATCTTTAGTCATGATACGTTTAAATTCTTTTATACCCACACGAGATGGAAAATTGTATGTTGATCGTACATACCCAGTATCCAAATGCCATGCTATTTCAAGTTCTTCTGCATCTTCAAAATTCTCTGGTGTCGGTTTATAACAACAACATGTGATAAATTGGATATTAACAACTACCCCATAGAATATTATCAGCGCGCAAAATTGATGAAAAATCATTATTATAATCTGAATTACTTACTGTTGGTATGACTTCTTAAGAAAAAAACTTTTTTTAAAACTACACATTTAATAAATATTAGATATTTTAGTATATGTTTTCATTTATATAGATATATACATGAACACATTTATCACATTTACAATTTTGTTTTCAAAAATAGTGTGTCAATACAATTTAAAAGTGATTTGTTACGTATAAAATTTATTTACCGTCATTTTTATAAGAATAGACATAAATTGTAAATTAAATTAAGAAACATGTTATAGTATCTAATAGTCTAAATAATAAAGCTATACATTTTACTGTATCATTATTGAGGGAATTTTAACGAATTTTCTGCGATATCTTTAAGAGTTATTATATTTACATTATTTATTAATTTGTCCCGTTTCGAAAGTACACCAGTGACACGGACGATATTTAGAGTCATCACCTAAGACTACTCGTTTGCTAGATAATACTCGCAGTGTGTGTACTTGTTAGTTGACCTGACAAGGTCCATATTTAATGTGTTTGGGAAAGTGCTCCGTATCAACTGTATGTTAT